AAAAAAAAAAAAAAAAAGGGAGGAAACAAACATGGTTTTACATGCAATCTAGGCACTAATCTCACCAAATCAAGTGAGTTTATAACCCTGCAAAAAACAACACTTTTCCAATGTAGAAATGTGCATCTTGAGCTCTTTTTCTGTACCTGACAACCAACATACAGAGTAAGTTGGATTGTTAAATTAGTGCATGACCAGCTATGTTTCTTCTTTTGGTTAACAAAGTATTAACGCTATTTGCTGCTAAAAATATGCAGTAGAAAGGGAACTTTTAATTCACAAATGGAGTCAATTGATCTCATTGGGAAGTTCCTGCCACAGTCATTCAGTGGGAAAAAGACATTGCCTCTCTCTTTTTTTATGTTATGTCCAGTTTCCCTAATTATCTATTATAATACAAACATGGATCTATATTCTCAATTTGTATTGTTTCAGATTTCTTTTTAAAAAACACAAACAACAATCCTTTGTCCATTCTATCAAGGAGATAAATACTATATGCTAAGCTGTCCATCACATCCAGGGCACTTCCTTCAAGTTCTGATCAATCCTGTGCGTTACGGTAGTTTGGTTCCTTTTTCTGTTATTGACTTAAGCATAATTCCCTAAAATTACACTCACATATCATGATATACATGATGTGCAATGCTACTCTGCGATATGTTGCACAGCAACAGTACATTATAGTAAAGCAGCTTCCCTCAAGAATGGTAGTCAATAAAAAGATTAAAAACAGCAATTCTATACCATGACGTTTGCAAAAATCTGATGGCAATGACGATCAATAAACCTGGTATATCATTACTGCTGCATTTCATACTGGTGGTTTATTTTTTAAGTCAGACCAAAAGTATTGATCTGAAATCAAAAAGACAACAGTCTCCATGCACTGAAGTGATCTGAAACTCTTAGTAATAAGGTCAGTTTCCTTAGGCTTCTGACTGCATCTCTGCTTCGTCCATCTGAAGAGTGTCATTATCACCCAATAATTCTGTTTCTGGTACAGAACCCTCCTCTTCCTCTTCTTCCTGAACAGGACTTTGGGCTATGTCTTCTGCACCATTATGTGTATCATCTGTGCCCTCTGAAAGCAGAGCAGCCCTATCTGCCACAGATGCATTGGAGGGAGCTGTTGTTACATAGCCTGTACTTGTGGAACCACTCCCACTGTGATGGGAACCTGGTTTTGGAATGATCTGTGGAGGTATCTGCTGTGGAGCCATTTGCATTGGAATCTGGACAGGGTAAAAATTAGGCAAGTAGGCTCCATAGGCTTGCATTGGTTGGTAACCATTTACAGGAATGTAGAGCTGAGGAGGTGGGACCATTGGTCTCATCTGCCCTTTCATTGGTATGAATTGTGGCTGAGGGAAAGCTTGAGTTTTCTGCTTTGGTCCAACATACCTAGCATTGCTGACATTACTAACAGGGCTTGTACTGAGAGAACTTGTTTGCGTAGTGTTGCTTGCCCCAGAGGTTTGGGCTGAGCTGTTGTAATTAGAAAGGTTTCCCCATGTTCTTAGTCTATTGTGTATGTCTTTAAATCTTGGTCTTCTGTTGGGGAATTCATTCCAACATTCTAACATCAAGGTGTATATCCATGTGGGGCAGTCATCAGGACATGGCAAAACCTGCCGATTTCGTATCATCTCAATGACATCCTGATTAGAATAACCACAGTATGGCTGCAGGCCATAGCTGAAAATTTCCCACAGTACAACTCCATAGGACCAGATATCTGAATCGATAGAAAATTTACCATACATGATAGCCTCCGGTGACATCCAACGGATAGGAAGAAGGGAATTTCCCATCAGTTTATAGTAATCAGCAGCATAAACTTCCCTGAAAAGGCCTAAATCTGATATTTTCACATTAAGTTTATCAAACACCAATATATTCCTAGTGGCTAAGTCCTTGTGAACAACATGGTGGCTAGACAGGTATTCCATTCCTGCTGCTATTTGAGTTACAATGTGAAAAAAATCTGCTGGCTCCAGAGTTGATTTGACTGTCTTGTCATCATCAGTGCTGCCAACATCAGAATGAGGTGATCTCATAACTAAGAACTCATGAAGATCACTGTGAGAACAATAACTAAAAATCATGCTTATGGGTTGTTCTTTTGTCACTATTCCCAGCAAACAAACAATGTTTGGGTGCTGCAGTCGTGATCTCATCATTGCTTCATGTTTGAATTCTTCCCGAAGAGACAATTCTGCTTTGTCTTTCAGTGTTTTAATGGCAACAACTTGTGTAGGTTCACCGGGTGCTGTTCCAAAGAGATGACCCTTGTAGACTTTTCCAAACCTCTCTTCTCCTAGTTCTTCCATAAACCTCACAGTAGATAGGTTGATCTCCTTAAGTTTCGCCTGAAAGATAGAAAAAGAACAGAAAAATAAAGGTATATCTTAGTGTTTTCTAACACTACAATCTGCCATTAAAACAAACCCTACAAATTAACCCATAGGATGATGGTTTTGTGAATCTTAAATTTACATACTGTATAGTCAAAGAGATTTTGATTTTATTACCAGGCTTGAAATGGATTACATCTTTCTCAGAAATGCAAATTTGAGATAAGGAGTATTTCAACTGAAAAAAAGACAAAGGTGCTAGTATATTTCTTGCAAGTTAAAAAGATCAATTTTGGGTAAATTGGGTAAATTGGTCAGTTTTCATAAAACAGGAGAAATGTAGGTGGTTAACAATAAGCCAATCAGACACTGTGTACATTTAAGATACAGGACTACCATTAAATCTAAATTATAAAGAACAAAAATAAGTGCAAAAGAAGAAAGAATCAGTAGCATCAAGGTCTCCAGTTACTAAGGCAAGACATCAAAGCAAGGCATGACTAGTAGGGGTGTGCAAAGCAGGCTGTATTCGATTCAGATATGGCCCGATTCAGGGGGCAGTGATTTGATTAGTTGATTCGGATCACTGTCCCTATTTGATTCCGCTGGATCCAAATCTGAAGATCTGATACTGATTTGGAGAATCAGTGATTTGGCCATAGACACAGCTTTAGATGTTTTTTCTACATACCTCAAGGTACCAGACATGCTTGTAAATGCTGAGAAGGTGGGGTGGATGGAACGTCCCACAGGAGTGTGTGGGGGGGGGGACCGGGATGCTTGGCGGTGGACCCGTAAGTGTACTGGAAGTACTTCTGGTCCACTTCCAGGACCACCACTGAGCACATGGGGGAACCCCCCATGCCCTCCTGGATCAGCGATTGGCTATTGGGGGACCCCAGGTGCCCCCCCAGACCCAGAAGGCACCAGTTGCCAAGCCGGGGGGGGGGGGCAGAGGGAAGCCAGGGGGTACGCCATGGCAGATCCGGAAGTGGGCCAGAGGTGCTTCTGGTCCACTTCTAGGTCTGCTGTCAAGAGTGCTGGGAACCCCACCATGCTCTCATGAGATGCTCCATTTGCCCCATCATCTCAGCATTCATGAGCCACCTGGTACCTTGAGGTATGCAGAAAAAACATTTAAAAGCTGTGTTTATGTCTGAATCATCGAATCTCCCTGAATCTCTTTGAATTGATTTGGAGGGTTCTGATTCGATTCAGAGATTAAAAGGTCTCGCAATTCGATTCGGTGATTTGGCCGCTGAATCAGGCCGAATCTCTGCTGAATTGAATCAGCAACCGAAGCTTCGCACAGCTCTAATGACTAGTAATGATAATTCAACTCAACATGCCAGTTTTGTATTACAAAGTATTCCTTAAGGCTAAAAGCTCTAGATGCAACTAATAATTTTTAGATGCTCCACCACAAATACCCTAAATGGACCTGATTTTTATAAAGTTGGTGATTGGTGCTTTCAGATAGCATTTAAACAGCTCTTGAATTGGACATCAAAAAATTGAGGCATTCAAAATCATGACACTTTGGAAAACTTTAGCCAAAGAAAATTCTGCAAAAAAATACCTGTTTGTGTTGATTAATAAGTGGCATTTCCATGTCCTGGCTAGGAGAGGCCATCAGTTGGCGACGTTGTGGGGTGGCAGCAGATGCCTTTTGTTTGTTTCTACACATACAGACCAAGAAAAAAAGGCAGGCGATAACCAAAGGAATGGCTATGCTGGGAACCAGAATGTAGAGAATCCCCATTTTGCTGTTGTCACGTGGGCCTGGTGAAAGTTTAAATAGTTACTGTTTTCAGGAGATTAAAAATATATATATTCAAAGACAAAGAAAATTCAGAATGCTACTCTGACTATTCAGACTAATCTTTAAACCAACCAGAAGCAAAATCACGTGATTTTGAATAGAAAATTATGTTCTAAGTAATGGCTTTTAATCCATTAACCACATAGTCATTTTCTTGTAAATACAGAATGAGAGTAACACAACACAGCAAGTTGGTATGAGGATGAATCATGAGGTTATCAGACCTGTTTAGTCTGTGCTGATTGTACTAACTGACTAATTTACAATTTTTTTTTACACGAGAAACATTATTCTTGAACCTCCCCCAACACAGAAATCACAGAATATAAATCACAGTGCAACTGAGTAAACTTCCTTAGGGCGTTGAGTAAAGTGATTAGTCTTTATCATTACCAAGTAATGCAGTCTTCATCATTACAAAACAGTGACCTTAGTGTGATTAACAGCAGAGGCAAACAAAAGATAGGCCTCCTTATGCAACATTAACCATTAGCATTTTGGTTGCCATTGCATTAGCATTTTGTCCACTAATTTATCTTCCACTGGCACTATTTTTAAAATTTTCTCCTCACCTCCCAGTCATACCGATACAGTTTGGACCTACTGTTTTTAAGGCAGTCTTGTGTTGCAGACAAGCAAAAGTGAAGAGTGTCAATTTATTATGAGTTCTCTAAAGCATTTACTAAATAATTGTATGTATATGGCATATGCAGCACACAGTGATGTGTATAGTTTGAAAGATTTTATGTACTTGGGAATGTCGTGTACAATCTGTGGCCATACTATTTGCAAGTAGTGCTTTAGTCTTAAACTTAGATACAATTTGTATCACTTTTTATCACATTCTGCTAACCAGACTGTCTTTGCTAATGTTGGTGCAGTGGTAATTCATTAACCTTATTTAGGTTTTTTTTGTATTTAGTTTAGGTGTCATGTATGTCATATCATTTATATATGCCATATACTCATGCCTTGTATATGGTCTTCAGTTTCATGCTTATTCTTATAGTCAACTATAGTGTTTTATCTCCCTCTACAGGATGTGAGAATTCTTGTTCTCCAAAAATGCCTTAGAGAGAAAAGGTATATAATTCTGAATAGCGTTAACAAAACCTGAGTTATACTTTAACAGATATGCAAAACAAAGCTAACTATATTAATATCAGACTCTGAGAAGTTAGAAAATTATACTTTGTAATACTACATAGAAAACACATGTAAATATTAATTATTAAATGTTTTCCCTACTTTTGCTCTAAAAGTTAAATAAATAGGCACTGTAGACTTTCAGGTAACAAACTCTGGTCTTAACACAACTTTAAAAAGCACTGGTGCCATACTAGACCCAATGAAATCCATGGAAGTGTAATTTGCTCTGTGAATAATACTATAACAATATGCAATATTTAAAATTGTACAAGCTGTAGCATAGTACTAGGGGGAAAAAAAAGATAATACATACTACAAGAAGGTACTTCACACAGTTCCATGCGTACGTTTTTATTTTGTGTAAAACACCAGGGACCCTCCAGTTGGCCTCCAGGATTTCGGCAATATGCATGTCCACCTCCTAGTTCTGGAAACTGTGTACTTGTCAGATCGTGTTTATGAGGATGCTGGGAGTCCCAATATTGACAGTTGTGGCCAGATTTAGTAACACCCACAGTCCCTCTATAATCTGCTCCTGAGCCATTGTAGCACTGATGATCTGTAACAACGAATTTCACAAAAAAATTA